CGCTTTTGATTGGCATGGGTTACAGATATTGTAAAATAAATAAATAAATATTCTGTTTGGTTCAAGGGATTCAGATCCATATCTAACATATTAGCTGCCTTGCCTGTTGCTGAAGATCTTCAGATTTTTATGTGTGTGTGTGTGTGTATGAATAATATCAGGATATACACACACACATAAAAATCTGAAGATCTTCAGCAACAGGCAAGGCAGCTAATATGTTAGATATGGATCTGAATCCCTTGAACCAAACAGAATATTTATTTATTTATTTTACTGTATGTGTGTGTATGTATATGTGTGTGTGTATGAATAATATCAGGATATACACACACACATATACATACACACACATACATACATTTGTTGTTGTTGTTTAGTCGTTAAGTTGTGTCCGACTCTTCGTGACCCCATGAACCATATTGTGCCAGGCCTTCCTGTCCTTCACTGCCTCCCTGAGTTTGCTCAGTTTCATGCTCATCATACATACATACATACATACATATATACACATACCCCGATAGATATGGTTGCCACCTTGAGTTGAATATACTCATTCATTCAACTCAAGGTGGAAAACATACCTAATTCTTTTGTCTCCTATTTTCCCCACAAAAACAACCCCGTGAGGTAGGTTGGGCTGAAAGAGTATGATTGGCCTAAAGTCATCCAGCCAGCTTTCATGCTTAAGGGAGGCCCAGAACTTGCAGTCTCCTGGTTTCTAAACCAGCACCTTAACTAATGTTCAGGTAAAATCTGTCTGCCTGAACCTTAGGTCCTTTGCATTTAATATTACAATAGAGAAAATAGTCTTGCCTGGTGCTGGTTGTAATCCATCTAGTATCTAAAATTCTGTCATATCTATCTGTAGTTTTGTCTTATCCAGGCTAAATGTACTCAATTTTTCAATATTTCTTCGTAGGAATTCTTTCTTACATCTTTAAAAAATTTATTGTTCTTCTCTGAATCTGTTTAAAATGTGCATTCAAAAGAACATCACTTTGATTATAGTAGGATTAAATTGGATAAGTAGGTGCCATTGAGTCAGTTCCTCATGTATGCATGCATACATGGTTCTGTTGGCCTCTCCACTGTAACAATTTAAGGACATTCCAATACTCCATCTATCTAATCCATTGCTATGCCTTCTATTTCTCTCAGTATTGCCAAGCATATTTATTTCTCTTGTCCATCATCCACTCATATCATATGCCAAAATATATCCATTTCTACTTGCTGATCATCACCTTAAGGGAGCAATTAGCCTTAAAAGTGCAGTATATGGCCCAGACTGACTGAATAATTTTTGTTGCATTTCTTGGTATTCTTAGTAACTAGTGTATCTCTAGTTCAGTATTTCAATGGTGTCTGGCTTCTTTCATTCACTATTTCTTAGTATACAGCTTTTACAACCATACATTACCATTGATAAGACCATTACTTTTATTCCTATCTTGCCATTGCCATTCTTATGTTTTGCAATCCTGTCTTTGGATGGACATTAAAAGAATTCTTACATGCTAAGATTCTTTGAAGTTTGCATTGCTTTCCTCCCTAGGAAATCATGCTTTTATTTCTCCAGCATAGTGTCCATCTTTATTTTTAAATATGAGATAAGAAAACCATCTATTATCTTCACTTCTTCACGTCAACTGTAAATTCACATAGCATGCTTTATCTTCTGTAGAAAGTCCAGATTGTTCTTTTTGTAGATGAGCAGTTATATAGATTTGTTTAATAAATAAATAAAATTGGAAAGTAAACAAACTAAATTTACAATCAATTAAATGAGTTATGTGTCCACACCCATACCAGAGCTCCACTAATATTCTGGTGCACAAGTTGCTGGGGTAAGTCTGTCCCCTGGCCTTTCTTCGCTCGTACACACTGCACCCTCCTTCCCCCTTCACTTGCACATGCCCTGCACACTCTTTCCCTGGCCTTCCTGCACTTGTACACACATGTACCCTGTGCCCTCTTTCCACAGCCTCCCTGTGATTGCATGTACCCCGCACCCTCATTCCCTGGCTACATATGATAACTGCAGCCAGATTATTATATGCACAAAGATGGAAAGATTTGGCATTAT